TTTTCTTTGACCAAAACAGTCAATTTAGCTATCTCTGTTTCTGGAGCTTTTCATCCATGGTGGGAATCAAGGAATTCATCCATTTTTGTGCATAAAGTAATCTTGCTGCCATCAATATATATAAAATACACCAACGTTCCATTTTTTTGCCCCATGACTTTATCCATGTAACCCCAAAGAAAAATTTCTAGTTTTATCTTTATATTCAACTTTGACAGTCTTCTGTATTAAGATGTGGATCCTGCTCCAATATTTCCATTTATCGTTTAGAAGCAGACGTGGTATTCAGCAGGTTCTGAACCGTTCTGGAGAACTGGTGGTGGAAATTTTGAGTAGTTCAGAGAACTGGCAAATACCGCATCTGAATGGAGATTTTTCAGCATCCTTCCCCTGCCATGCCCCGCCCACCAAGCCACACCCACAGAACCAGCAGTTAAAAAAAAAATGAATCCCATCACTGGTTGGAAGGCTCAAATCTAGGAAGTCCCCATTGCCACTTGTACAATATCTGTTTAACTATAACCCTGATTGTTCACAGAAAGCCAACTGAGTCGCTGGATGCCCAGACAGAGGAAGACATATAGATGATCCCACACAAAAGGTGCCAGGTTTTGAACTATCACACCAGCAATGCACAATCCTGAATAAGAATCTGCCAGGATTAATTGTATAATATTCCATATTTCCATATTCTCAGCATCCATTCATATCCTTCCTTCCTTCCTTCCTTCCTTCCTTCCTTCCTTCCTTCCTTCCTTCTTTCCTTTCTTTCTTTCTTTCTTTCTTTCTTTCTTTCTTTCTTTCTTTCTTTCTTTCATTACTTTTATAAATCAATCAATCCATCAATCAATCAGAACAGAGCTGGAAGGGACCTTAGAGGACTTTTAGTCTAACTCCCTGCTCAAGCAGAAGACCCCATACCTGTGATGGCAAACCTTCTGGGCCCCGAGTGCTCATAGCACATGTGCATACATTTTTGGTATGCAAAATGCAAGGTGCCTCCCCCATGCATGCACACACCACCCCTCCACATCTGTGCCCACACTCCCCGCATCACCCCTGCCCCCAAGCATGTGCGGCAGAGACCCAAAGACCAGCTGGTCCATGGGAAGTATGCTTGCATGCGCGGTAGAGCTGAGCTGGTGTGACAGTGCACGTGTCCACAGAGAGGGCTCTGCACGTGTTCTGACCCACGCCCTTTTCCAACCAATCAAACACCATCCAAAGGGAACCGAAACCTTGTGATGCTTTTACAAAATAATTCGCTGTGATAAGCAAAAGCCTTGCCAAACTGTGCGAGACTTGCCAAAAGGTAACAGACAAAAAATAATTTGCAAAATAATAATCTTCAAATACAAACTCAGGATACTGGAATGTCCACGAGGCTGGAGTTTCAAAACGTCTTTGCCTTCTTCAAAGTATGTTTGTTTCACAACTGGCTTTTATCTTCTTGAAGGAGGGGCCATTTCCTTGCAGCTTTACTCCCAAGTCACCCATGCTGTTGTAACTGTTCTTTCTTCTGAGCAATCCTGCATTCACTCGCACTTGGCACAGGCTCCTTGGGAACCTTCTCATCACAGCTGCCAGCCCCCACAATCTCTGAAGGCAGCAGTCCATTCCGTAATGATCCTGGGCCCTCATCTGAGTCCTCATTCTCCTCAGGTGTCTGCACCTGCTGCCGACTAACCACAGTGTGCCATCTATGACACGCATGCCATAGTTTTGCCATCATGGCCCTACATCATTTCTGACAAGTGACTGTTCAGTTTCTTCTTAAAAACATCCAGTGGTGAGGCACCTACAACTTCTGAAAACAAGCACTGGTTAATTGTGTAAGAGTTTGCAGCAGAAATTCAAATCCAGAAAACACACAGGTGCCTGATTCAGCAGGATCATTAACTTCTTTATAAACATAATAATATGAGCAAAGTTTACAATACCATTTGTAGATTCTTTCAACATGACATAAGCAAAACTACAAGCAGCAGCAGCTCAGAGAGCTCAGAACAGATACCAGTTTCTGTTTCAATTCTCAGCAAAAGCACACAGAGCCAAACCACACCCAGTCTGTCAGTTCCCATTGGCTGGTTTGTTGCCATGCTTACTCACTTGCTGACTTTGTTAACCATGTCTCTGCCAGTTAATGAATATACTCTGACAAGTTGTCCTCATTGTTAGGAAGTTTCTCCTTAATTTTAGGTTGCTTCTCTCCTTGATTGGCTTCCATCCATTGTTTCTTGTCCTGCCCTCAGCTTCTTTGGAGAATAGCTTGACTCCCTATTCTTTGTGGCAGCCCCCGAGATATTGGAACACTGCTAACATGTTGCCCTTAGTCCTTTTTTCATTAGACTAGACATACTCATTCCTGCAACTGTCCTTCACATGTTTTAGTCTCCAGACCTTTTAATCATCTTCGTTGGTCTTCTTCGCACTTTTTCCAAAGTCTCAACATCAGTAACTCAAGGCAATTTTTCCTCCACAATAACAATCCTATGAGGTAGGCTAGGCTTGATTGAGAGAAAGTGAGAGACCCAAAGTCACCCAGCCAGCTTTCTGGTCTTAAGGCAGGGCTTGAACACAATGTCTGCAGGTGATTGGTGGAAAGTCACCCAACCAGCTTTCATACCTCAGGTGGGACTAGAGTTCATTGTCTCCTACTGACTGGCCCAAAGTCACCCAGCTGGATTTCATATGTAAGGTAAAACTAGAACTCACCACCCCCTGTTGATTGGCCCAAAGTCATCCGGCCAACTTTCCTGCCTCAGGTAGGACTAGAAAATAACTGTTGCTGGAATTGAGTATCCCTATCCCTATCCCTATCCCTATCCCTATCCTATCCTATTCTATTCTATTCTATTCCATTCCATTCCATTCCATTCCATTCTATCCTATTCCTTTCCTTTCCTTTCTTTTCCTTTCCTTTCCTTTCCTTTCCTTTCCTTTCCTTTCCTTTCCTATCCTATCCTATCCCATCCCATCCTATTCTATTCCATTCCATTCCTCACTGTCTCCTAGTGATTGGCCCAAAGTCACTCAGCTGCTTAAGGTAGGAGTAGAACTTCTGGTTTCTAGCCTGGTGACTTTATTTTAAATTTTAAAGTTAGACCAGTTTGGTCTAGTAGATCAAATTTAAATAAATTAAATCATCATCATCATCATCATCATCATCATCATCGTCATCGTTGTCATCATCATCATCCTGACAAAGTTTTGGACGTCACAACACAGTCGCTCAGATGGTCCATTGGAACTTGTGTCGTTTGCCTGTATCAAAGAACTGGTGGGATCACAAGCCTGAAAAAGTGGTCGAAAATGATCATGCAAAAGTACTGCGGGACTTCTGAATACAGACTGACAAAGTTTTAGAACCCAACACCCAGGATATCACGATTGTGGAGAAGAAAAAAGTGTGGATCATCGACATTGCCATACCTGGTGATGGCAGGATCAACGAGAAAAAGTCACCAGATATCAAGATTTGAAAATCGAATTGCAGAGACTTTGGCATGAAACAGTGATGGTGGTTCCAGTGGTACTGGGCACACTGGGTGCTGTGCCTAAAGACCTAGGCAATCACTTAAAAACAATTAGCACTGACAAGATCACCCTTGGTCAGCTGCAGAAGGCCACCTTACTGGGATCTGCTCGCATAATCCGCCGATACATCACACAGTCCTAAACACTTGGGAAGTGTTCGACTACCGATTTGTGATACGAAACTCAGCATAGTCATCTTGTTTGCTGTGTATACTATCATTTTTGTGTATAATAAAGGCGGAGATGTTATAAACAGCTATGGGCCCTCTCATCACTTGCCAAAATATAAACTATAAAACACCCCATCGTCTTCAGAGCTGATGTTATAAAGAAACTGAGATTCTTAAGTCCACATTTAAGAAATGAGGGAGTGATTGGATGTATGGCTATTCCCCTAAAACCAGAGATGCTGTTTTTAGTTACTGTTTGGAGTCTGTCGAAATTAATCGTATGGTATCCGCTCAAGAAAGAGGGAGTTGCAATCGGTCAAATTTAATTGACAACCCAGTGGAACAAAAGGAGATTTGATTTTTATTGTGAGCTGCAAGCCTTAGAAACCTCCCGTTAAATACAGACAATTAAGATTAATTGGAAGAACACTGAAGAAATCAGTGTGGGCTCACAAATGCATCCAGCTGCCCTATAATTAACCCAAACAGTAGCAAGTCCCACAAATGCAATATTAAAAAAATACCTTAGAACTTCGTCCATAATTTATCTTAATAGACATTATCTGACTTTAAAAAGATGATCCTTGGCGGAGAGAGATTTTCTATTTATTTGCTGTTTTAAAAAAAGATGTGCTTTGGACATGAAGCATTACTACAAAACTCTGTACCTATGTTGTGTTTAGTTTTTGTATACGCAAAGCCTCCTGTGAATATGATTCATATTCTAATACGAAAAATTTTGTAAATGGAGATAAAAATGAAACCAGAACTTTTCCTTTGGGGCCTAATGGAAAAAGAACTGGACAAAAAAATTGGATTGTCATTATATATGTTGACAACAGCAAGGCTATTATATACACAAAAATGGAAGGACGCTTTGATTCCTACCATGGACGAATGGTTGCAGAAGTTGATGGAATTGGCTGAAATGGCAAAACTGACTACTTTGATTAAAGAAAACAACACTAGTACTTTTGTTTCCACATGGAAACCGCTTCTGAACTTTGTGCTTGATGTGGAAAAGAATGAAAATCTAACTTTGGGTTTTACAGATTAGACAGATAGCTCTTTATAAAAATGGCTTGTTTATACTATTACGGAAAAACAAAAAGTTGTATTTTGATGTTAATGCCTTATTTTACTGTAACAGCGAGAGTTGGAAGTCACTGCTTCCTTTTCTTTTTTCTTTTCCCTATCTTTACTCCTGAGTCACCCCTTTTGTCTTAGCTGTTCTTGCCTTCTGTTCCTCTGCCTCGCTGCTGTCAGATTCTGGAGGCTCCAGAGTCAGCACATAACTCCCAGATGGCCCTGGCTCCATCTCTGTGTTGGATGCAGGACCCTCGTCCGAGTCCTCCCCAGACTCCAGGACTGGCCCATGTTCCTCCCCACTGTCCGACTCTGCTACCATCTCCGCAGGCTGCCAATGGATCACAACACCCACCACTTCCTAAAACCCTTCTTAAACAGATGGCTTCCTCTTTCTGGAAAAGTTTTCTCCTTTTCTTTTTTTCTTTTCTTTTAATCACTTTGTTTCATTTGACGAATACTTGACAATATTTTGAGAACCCGGATGACAAGTTTTTAGCTGTTATGGGCTGGTGATTTTTGATTCCAAGCTCAGAGCTGAGTCGCCTAATGCAATGTGGATTGAGCAAATACAATATGTCAGACGAGAGCTACTATGAAGTAGAAACAACTAATAACCGTTTACCTTCTGTTGGGTTGTAAAATTACACCGTGATGGATATTTGAAGGCTCTTGGCAGGTGCAGGGAGGATATGAGGACAGATCTCGGTCAGATGGTTCTTCTTTCTTCGTGGAACCATTCTGGCGTTCCAATGGTTTATTGGCAAAGGAAGATGTTTTTCCCACAACGTGGATCTCGACAGCCATGGAAAGTTGGACATTTGCGACAATCTACATTGTCACATTATTTTTCCCAGAGGTAATCATAATCTAATGGGAAATTGACAAACGCAACGGTTCCAGGCAGTTCTGAGGACTGATAATCTCAGGAGATTTTGTCCATCAAGGAAAGGAGGAGAGCTTGACACCACCATCCAAACTCATTTGTTGGATTGTCACAGATTAGCAGATTTCCTGGGAAACCCAAGCCAGAATCATATAATAATTCCTTCCTTTCTTCCTTTTTCTGCCTCTCTTTTTTTCCTTTTTCTTCCTCTTCCTCCCTCGCTTCTTTCCTTCCCTCTCATACAACTTTCCTTCCTTCTTTCCTTCCTTCCTCTCCCCCTTTCTTCCTTCCTTCTTCCTACTCTTTCATTGTTCCCTCCTTCCTTCATCCCTCCCTTCCTCCCTCTCTCCCTCCCTCCCTCCCTCCCTTCCTTCCCTTTCATTGTTCCTCCCTCTTTCTTCCCTTCCTCCTCCTTCCTTCTTCCATCCCTCCATCCCCCTTCCTTCCTTCTCTTTCATGTTGCCTTCCTTCCTTCTTCTGTCTTCCATCCCTCTCTCCCTTCGTCCCTTCCTTCTTCCCCCTTTCCTTCCTTCCTTCCTTCCTTCCTTCCTTCCTCCCTTCCTTCCTTCCTTCCTTCCTTCCTTCCTTCCTTCCTTCTTTTATTCCTTCTCTTTCATTTTTCCTTCCTTCCTTCCTTCCTTCCTTCCTTCCTTCCTTCCTTCCTTCCTTCCTTCCTTCCTTCCTTTTGTCTCCTCCCTCCTTTCCTCTCCATCCCTCCCTCCACCCCTCAGAACAAATTCCTACGTAGGGCTCCTTTGGAGCAAAACAAATTAAATATACAGATGAACTGGAAGTAAATTAAGGCATGTTTGAGACAAAAATTGCACACCCAGAGATAATTTAGCTCCATGTCAGGAGCATAAAAGGTGCAGATCTGGAAATGTCTTTGAACTGCGACAGATGGTTTCTCATCAGACCTTAGAAGCAGGATTTTTGCATTCTTATTTTTGAGCGCTTGAGACAGAGAGAATATCAGGGGAAAAGCCCACAGCATTTTGATCACTGCAAATTTTGATAAGGCAATGGAAGGTACATTGGACAAGGGAGCCTCTTCAGAGTCACTCAAAATATAACTTAGATTAGAAGACTTTTGATATCTGCCTTATTAGCCATTCCTTACCCCTATTATGACCACAACTGAGTCCAAAATTCCTGTTGCTAAGTGAGACCTTCACTAGGTGATTTTTGCCCCATTTTCTGACTTTTCTTGGCCCGGTTGTTAAGTGAATCATTCTGGTTGATAAGTTAGTAACCCGGTTGTTAAGTGAATCTGGCCTTCCCCATTGACTTTGCTGGTCAGGAGGTTGCAAAAGGGGATCACACAACCTCAGGATACTGCGACCGTCATAAATATGAACCGGCTGCCAAACCAATCTGAATTTTGATCACGTGATCATGGAGGATGATGGAAAGGTCGGCACTATGGAAAACGGTCATAGGTCCCTATTTTCAGGGCCGTTGTAACTTTGAACAGTCACTGAATGAACTTGTTCTGACCCAAGCTTTGTCAAACTTAATAAAACACAAACTGAATTTAAAAGTAAATCCTTTTTTTAATGTGACGCTGGGAATTACTTGCATTCCCAGCCAAGACTAATTAGACACAGTTCCTCCAGATAAGAGCACGCTTTTCAGTGCTGTCAAATGCTGCCAAAAAAAACCCAGAAGTCCAATTAAGGCTAACATAAACCAACCCCAAAACCCAGAAAAAAACAACAACCAGAGTACAGAGCTTCACAAAGGATTCAGAGGTTACTGAACTGCTTTGCTTCCCGAAAAGCTCTTCGTCATCGAGGACTGACTTTTATCCCTAATGGGAGGGGCAATCACCTCCCAGCCTTACTCCTGAGTTGCCCCAGCTGCTTCAGCTTCTCTCGCCTTCTAGCAGCTCTGTGCACACATACACTGGGAGCAGGCTCCCCTTCTTCCTCTGCCTCACTGCTGCCAGACTCCGAAGGCTCCAAAGGCAGCACCCCACTCTCTGATGGTCCTGGCCACTCTATCAAGTCTTAGTAAGACCACACCTAGAGTACTGCATCCAGTTTTGGTCACCACATTAAAAAAAGATGTTGAGACTCTAGAAAAAGTGCAGAGAAGAGCAACCAGGATGATTAGGGGACTGGAGACTAAAACATATGAAGAACGGTTACAGGAACTGGGCTTGGCTAGTCTAGGGAAGAGAAGGACCAGGGGAGACAGGATAGCGGTCTTCCAATATTTGAGGGGCTGCCACAGAGAGAGGGAGGGGTCAAGGTATTTTCTAAGGCAACTGAAGGGCAGACAAGGAATAATGGATGGAGACTGAACAAGGAAAGATTTAACTGAAAATAAGGAGAAACTTTCTGACAGTGAGAACAATCAACCCATGGAACAGAAGTTGCCCTCAGAAGTTGTGGGAGCGCCATCACTTGAGACTTTCAAGAAGAGATTGCACTGCTATTTGTCAGAAATGGTGTAGGATCTCCTGCTTGGACAGGTGGTTGGACTAAATGACCCATAAGTTCCCTTCCAACTCTGATTATCTGTTATCTGCCCCCATCCCTGCATCGGATACAGGGACCCTCGTCCAAGTCCTCGCCAGACTCCCTGACTGGTCCTCTTTCCTCCTCACTCGCTGACACCTCTGCTGTCTGCACCAGCTGCCGGCAAACGACAACCAAATTTTTATAAGTTGAGGACTACCTGGATACACTATCCACTTTCTCTTTCAAACCTTCTGATCCCTCTGGACATCAGTGGCAACTGACTGGCTAAAAAGCCCGAGCTACAATGACAGAGTTATTATCTACCATAAATGAAGTAACTTTGGAAGGTGGTGTAGCTGTAAAATGCACATCGCAAATACAACTCCTTTGGATGAAAACAGACCCATTACAAGGAAATGATGGAGATGAGAACTATTAATCCGAGGAATGGCTTGCCTTCAGAAGCTGCGGGTGGAAGTTTTGAAGAAGAGACTGGACAATCACTTGTTTCAAATGCTACAGGGTCTCCTGCTTGGGCAGGAGGTTAGACTAGGAGACCTCCAAGGTCCCTTCCAACTCTGCTATTCCGACAACTCTGAAACAACGTGAAGACAAAAGGATGGAAATGGCCAGCTGTCTGCAAAGAATATAAATCCTTTCGTTCCCCGCTATCTTGTCAGAGCTGAAGAAGCTTCTTGGATGAGAAGCAAAACATCTTCAAAAGAAGAAGAAGAAGCAAGTCCAGTTGCCTCCTGAAAAAGCACCCCTGGGACAACCATGAGTTGGATGACGGAGAATCTCTTCAGACTTATCATCAGTGGAACGACTTGCCTTCAGTCGCAAGTGGGTGCTCCATGACTGGACGCTTTCTGAACCACTGGTATAGGATCTTCTGCTTGAGCAGGGTGTTAGTCTAGAAGACCTCCAAGTCCCTTCCAAATCTGTTATTCTATTATTCAATACAAGTTCCTTCCAAGTCAGAACTTGCTGGTTTCCCTTTGTCATCAGCATGGGTGCAAACAATGGTGCCAGGGTGAGCTTCATGGCTAGAAATACTTCAAAACTGTGGTCTGATCATAAATAACACAGATGCAATGGAAGGAAAAGAAATACCTCCACCTATAAAATGATTATATCTATAAGATCAGGTGGAAAATTTTTTTAAACGTCCAGTTGGCTTTTGGGATAGATATTCATATTCTATTCAGTCATACTATCAGGTAGTCTTGATGTAATAAACCAGGATCCTGTGGCTTTGGAGACACAAGTCTATTTCTGAGCTTTTATATCTTTCTACATCCTTCCCACTAGTCGGGGTACTGATAAAAACAAAGCAAAAAACTTTACAAGGCAAGGCAAAATGTGCATTGTCTATGCAATGCACATATCCTGTCTTTAGCACTTGGGAGAACAAATGATTTATAGGATTATAATGTAGGATCTGTATTTGTCCCTGGAAGGAGGTGAGAAGAAAGAGAAGGAAGGAAGGCAGGAGGGAAGAGGGAAGGAAGGAAGGAAGGAAGGAAGGAAGGAAGGAAGGAAGGAAGGA